TAAAATAATAGAAATTACTTAATTATTTGTGTCTGACTGTTTGCCACATACAGTCCTTTTTAAACCCAAACTCTACCCTGCCCTATGTATATGTTCCATTGACACCTGGCACTTTTACTCTGTCACTATAGCTCCATTCTATTTCCTACTACAAGTTATATTACTTGTTCATCACAGTTCTTTTCCAATGCTCCTACATTATTCCTCAGAAAAATAACTCTAAATTACTAAAAAACCTAAACTTCCTGTATTGGTGGTGACTTCTGCATGTCTTTGGACTTGATAGTATAAGCAGGCCTTAGACACATACTTCACAATTCCAATCCTAGTACCAACTTTGCTTCCTTCACTTTGAGACTCCACTTCCATTTGCTGAATCTTCTGTGCTGACTGATGCCCAGAGATCCACTGTTATTTTTTGACAAAAGGGGTAACTGCAGTGTTTACCAGCCATAGAACATACCATCTCCTATGATTCTAGTCCAAGAGGAATAAAAGCAACTTCATTTGAGTGAATCTGTATTTGATTCTGTGAATTGCTTAGAAAAGTGAATCCAGGTTTTTACTTAATGTGTGACAGAGACTAAAATAAACGCAAAAACATTTTGGCTCCAATGACTGGCTCAGTGTCAAGAGCAAGGAATGGTTAGTCTGAATGTGCACAATATGTTTTGGAAAACACAGTGTTTTGTTCTGTGAGACATTTCCACCACAAGCATTTTATTAAGATTCTCTTTCTTACTATCCTCCTTTGCAAACCAACTACCTGCATGAAAAATAATACTTTTAAGGAGTTTCCTATAGTTTTCAAGTTTCCTAAAATAAAAATTGACCAAATATATCTGTTTAGATTGTTTTGACTCTTTTGTGTTCCTTTAAGCCAATGACAAAAGTGAAACCAAAACCTTCAAACGCCTGCTCGCATTCTAGTGTTGAAACAGTGCCATGAAGGAGTTTGTCTCTAATATGGGGAAACTGAGACCCAGCCCTCATACACCTAAAACCACACTGAGAGATAGGAGCCACATCAGTGTGTGGCCTGATCTCTTTTGCCTCCTGATATAAAGTATAGGGTCTGGATCCAGATGGCAAGTTCTGGAATACAGCTGAGAGGCCTGGATTCAAATCCCTACTCTGTCAGTATAATATTGGCTAAACTAATTTACATGTAAGGATTACAGGATATTTTCTAAATGTTTATCCTAGCATCTGACATTTACTAAGCACTTGGCAAATGGGAGAAATTACTACAATCTTGAAATAAAGGCATGTAATTGACAGTGTATTGGACAAAATGAAGAAGACACAACAATCTGTTTCAGCTAATATTCCAGAAGACTACAAAATATGTTCTTAATGTGAAAGGAAAAAATAAAACCAAAAGAAATGGGATACATCTGGTCACTATTTTTTTCCCCCTCAAATGAGGTTAACTGTTAAATAAATATAAAATGATCAACAACAAGTGTTTGGGTAGAATAAGTAGATTCAAAGGATCGAGGAATACAGAGATTATTAACTTCCAAGACACTTAACCTCAGGCATGAAAGATTTTTGAAGATCATTTCAAGTTAACAATCAAAATAAACAGACTTCTATGGAGGAAAAACTGGAGCCTGGTTTTTCCAGTAAGAATCTGGCACATTACAAAATGGCGTTCAACTTTTTAAAGATATAAGCCCCCTATGAGAGAATTCTTGAAGGAGAGAAAACAAAACCATGGAAGCAAAAGAGTTTAAACTTGAAAGCCAATCTACAGAATTCTTTATTAATGGATCTTTCCACCATGGTGGAAATGAGCTATTTATCCCTTCAGGTAGAAAAGATGAGAGAAAGAAGACTATCAAATAATATTCCATAAAAGCCTCTAAATGTCCAATTCCACAACAGGGCATGAACCATCCAAAAAGGGCTTATAATTACGCATACTGTGCTGAATTAAACTGAATTAAATGAAGAGACATGGGAGGAATCCTTTTTTTCTTTTCTTTTCCTAAAACCAATTTGTTCCAAGATTCCAAACAAAATCATCTTCGTGGACCTACTGAGTCACTAAACCCTACTGGGTTTGGAAAGACATTCAGGGCGGCTGCTTCTCAGTCTTCTTTGTGGTTAGGTGCAGCCCACTGCAATGGGCTTCCCCTCACTGCTCCGTAGCACCCCCAGCCCCGCCAGATCTGGAAGGACCACAGGAATAGAACTGAGAAGGGGCACTGCTGGGCACCTCCTGGGCTCAAGGGAGTGGGCCGCAATGCAGCACCTGTACCTGACCTTCACCTTCACCAGATCTGAAGAAGGGATTCTGTCCTGACCCAAATGGGAAAGTGTTCCCTAAAAGACACAGGGAACTACCTCAGGGCTCAAAAATGATAAAACAGAAAACAGTCACCATGGAGCCTCTGATAAAAAGCTCTATAAAAACATCAAAAGGGGAGCACTGATTTATTGACAAAGCTTAATAATTTTAGTAAGTCACAGAGGACATCACTTTTACTAAACAAAAAAATAGGGTATGAAAAGAGAAGAACAAGACAACACCAATGGAAATTATAGGAAAATAAAACACACTGCTGTTAAAAATCCACGTTACAAGCAGTAAATACGAGATATCAGAAGAGGTTAATGAGCTATTTTAATGTGGGAAACATGTCTAGGACATCAAAAAAATCGCACAAGCTGTTAAAATATTAAAAACTCTTCCACAGTGGTTGATAATAATCACCTCTCCACCCCACACTGGGCCCTTGTGGAGCTTCCCCAAGACACAGATCTGAAGGAAACTCATGATACAGCGGGGAGCTGTGAGACCCTGCTGGAGCAATAAGACCACTGCAGGATACAACCATTTTTATGCAATGCTGGCTGCTAAAGAAACTGCTAAATATTTTACATATCAACTCTTAGTTCCAATCCAACAACAGAAATCACTAGTCAAGAAAGAGACAAACAGAGTAAAAGTAAAAGTCAAAACTGAAGGAAACTTTTTGGTTCTAAGGAACACCTGGGTCTAAAAAAAAAAAAAAAAATCAACAACGCACATTACTTCCCAGGAAATATTCATGCAAAAAAAAGTACATTTAAGAACCGGGTTCATTTTTCAAACTCAAAAGACTGGACTGAATTGGGGTAGCCAAATCTCACTGGTGTAAAATGGTATTTTGGTTTCATTTCTTCTGTTTGATTTTTCTTAAAAGAAAAAAAATAGGCCAAACAACTGTCTAGACACAGTGAATTCTGGAACAGACCACTCAATTCCCCTTCATGCTAAGGCCACCGTTCTTCTACCTGTTGCATTTTGAAGGCTCAGAGCTGCCTCCCTCTCTAAGAGCTGCCCTAAAACAGAGGGAGCTTCTTTACCTAAGGACACCCACTTCTGGCCAAGATCTGAGGTCTGCTCAATCAGACACAAAGCCTGGCTCTCTCGCCTAAATTTGGGATAACTCTGAAGAAACTTAGGGCAAGGACTAGGTCTCTTTTGTAATCACATCCCAACTGGCCTTCTCATCCTATCCAAATCTATTTCTCTCAGTGTCTCATTGGTACCATTCCCAAGAACACTCACCAGCAAACCCCCAGACAACACTCTCTTCATTAGAAAATGACTATGAAAAAAAATCCACTCATTTAAAAAAGATAAAGGAAGTTTAAGAAAGATGTTAAGTGAAAGACAGCCAATGAAATGATTTCATTACAGATAAAATTAATTTTATGGTTGGAATGATAGTGGAATGAATCAGATATAATCACCTATGTGCACACATGATTACGCAACCTGGGTAACTCTACATCATGTACCAGACAAATGAGAAGTTATACTTCATTTAAGTACAAGGTCTCAAAATGCAATCTACTGTCACGTATAACTAATTAGAATTTAAAAAAATCAAAAACCGATTTTATGGGACACTTACTCAAAATGTTTCAAAAATGTGAGAGACAGATAGTTATCAAATTCATTTTAGGAGGCTAAAGTTGAATGAGCCAGTAAAGAGGAAAATTATAGGCCAATCTCGCATAAACACTTACATAAAAAAAATGTTCACAACTTATTTTACTAGGCTTCCTTTCACAATACAAAAAGATAATAATTCAAATATGCATACTGAACTACTGGTTTTATAGGTTCAAAATAATAAAAATAAATGACTTGGAAAAAAACACAAAATTAAGAATTATATATGAATTCTAGAAATGTTTCTTTGCAAAGAATTACAAGAGGAAATTCAAATCAAGAAAAATAGAAAAATAAAAATAGAAACTAAAAGTAGGGAGAGAGAAGACCATACGTATCAAGTGTTAATAAATCTAGAATTCTCTATGAAATGGGTAATTTTCTGGAAAAAAACTATCAAAATCATTTAGCAAATAAAAATTAAATAGGTCATCAAGTTAAACTACAGTGTTTTAAATTATTACTCCCTCCAAAAGTTCAGGACCTAGAAATTTTTACTATGGATCTGCACCATCAATGAGATACAAAGACATTATTTCCCACAATATTAATAGTACTAACAAAAGTGGTATATTCAATCCTCAGAATGACTCAACGTGTGCGTATGGGGACCACATCAAATTTTTTTAGGAGGAACTGAGGCACAGCCACAGGGCTAGTATGCGGCAGAGCCGAGACTTAATGAAGGCCATGCTATTAACTTTTGGTAGACCGACGCCTACAAAGAAAGGCTGAGCCTCTGTGTGAGAACTAGACATAGCCCTGATAACAAAAACTTCAAAAATTAAATATTTTTCTTCTTTTTCAATGATCAGAAACATTTTAAAGAATCAAATCCTTGCACAGGCTTACTATGTGGCAGCCACTGGTCTAAGGAAGTAAAAATGTTATTGTGTTTCTCTCTCACTACAACCTCAGGAAGAAGTTATGTCACCTACTCCTTCTGGAGAGATGAAAAACAGACACACTAAGAGATGTTTTTAATGACATGTCCAAGATCACACAGCTAGCAAGTGAACCCTACTGAACCCTGGCCATCTGTAGGATCTGGATGTGGTGTCATAAAACATGCTGTGGACAGTGCTGAACATAACTTCCAAATTAGTCATGAATTATTGCTCTACGACAATCAGCTACAGAAACCCAAGCACCACTGAGCGAGTAGGTCACTGCAGAGTCATTAGGAACCATTCTCGCATCTTATGTGATATCCAAACAAAAAAAAAGGGTATGTGAAAAGCAAAGTCTCCAAGAATAATCATCACACTCACTAACAACCAGACATTTTCTTATGAGAAACAAATCATAAGTTATATGTGAATTAATAAGTACCATCTATACCATGACTAGCAGTGGTTACAACTTAATTAAATCACTGCCTTTTCAACAATAATGTGAGTCAAATTACTTTCTCTAGTATAACTTAAAACATTTGTTCAAATGATTTTTGTGATACTGAATGGAGATCATATTCTATTTGGATTTCATATAAACTCTGAATTGAGTTTTAAACATATTAAGCAAATAACACCAATAATACTAAAGAAAATGTAGCCCAAGAACCAAGAGAATGTCTCCTACCAAGCTGTATACAATATATGAAACACATTGTGAATATAAAGCCATACATGAATCTTTATCATTATGAATTATATGCTAAATAAATTTTATTGCCTGCATTAAGGATTAAACCAACCAAATAAAGCTGATCTTTAATATAAATCTGACTACTGTATTCCAGTTAAATTCTATTTATTTTGCAGTGCTGGAGATCAAACTCAGGGCCTTACGCATGCTAGGCAAGCACTCTACCACTGAGCCACATCCCTAATCAATAATTATGAGTTTTACATTCTTGAATATTAAGAGTAACACCCATCAATAAGATGAGAATATCATAGTTACCTCTGGCTTCATGTGATGTCCTCATTTCACTTTCTGTTCTCTCTTCAAAGTCTTCTTTGACATCATCAGCATGCTGGTCTCTGAGGAAAAAAAAATGTGTTTCTGTATTTTATAAGAGGAGCATTTTAAAAAATAGTTCATAGCTATATTTTAACAACTGTTTTTTTTTTAATTTAAAAAACAAGTACTACCAAAATATTAGAAAGGCTATGTAGTTCTACAACAAAACAATTAACACTAATAACATCTACAAATGCCCCACTTTCCTCATCAACAATTTTTTATTATTATTCAGAAAAGAGATTTTTAAAACTAAGAATATTAAGATGAACTATTCTGGAAAATGTAGCTATATAATAACCCAGTAATAATTTCTCATGCATTCATAATAAATTTTACTTGTTCTGCTTGGTAAGACTTCAATTTAGGGGAAAAAAAAAAGGTTTGGAAGTCTTGGACAATTATTTACACCATTTTACATCTCGGGTTCCTAGGACTTGGGTTGAAGCTGAGACTGGTCCATAAAAATCAATCTGAATTTGAGGAAGTTTTTCTTGGATTAATTAGGTCAAATCCATAAACTGAACTGATCCTATCACTTTTTGACCAGGAATGACCTAACACTAAACTAAACATAGTACAGATTGCCTAAAATAAAATGGTTTCATTAAAAATCTTAATTTAGATCTTTTCCCTTAAGCCAGGAACAAAAATGGCTCTATGAAACTGGGCATATGATACTTATTTAAAGCTAAATTTCAGAGATTTGAAAAATTTCAACCCAATGTATTCCATTTTCAAGGTTCAAAATAAACCTCACTTTGTAATTTCCCCAATCTAGGATACAGTATCTATCTGACTACATATTACAGTGCTTTGTAAAACTCTCACCCAGACCTCTTTTATTGTTGAGTTTAAAGAACAAGGCAAATGCATATGAAACAAAATATTCCAACAAAACATAAAAGGTTCTACAGTTTTAATTACAAAATAGTAATTTATACTCCATTTAAAATTATAACAATGTAACATAATGATGCTAACATAGTAAGCAGGCAATCAATGTTTTAGAAAAGATTATTTCCAAGAGCAAATGTGAAATTTCATTTGAACCTGACCTCCCAAGCTTGGTTCACAGTAAAAACAATCAGTCACAACTGCTTAAAACTATTTGTGCTCAGTTGAGAATGGGGAAAATCACTTTAGTTGTTCAATTAAATTGTATTTTTTTCAAGAAATTCAGAAAGCTCTGAATAAGATTTTTAATGAATCCATTCCAGCATGTTTGGTATAGTAGTCGGTCAACTCAATGGCAGAGGCTCTTACTCCAGAGAAAGTAAAATAAACGTAAGAATATCACTGATAACTGAAGAATGAATGTTAGTTGAGGTATTGATAGAAAACTTTCTTCTCTGTTAAAGCAGTGCCCCGAAGTCACACTTGGTGATTACGATATGTTAAGATCGGCGTACTAAAAATTAACTCATAAACTTACAAACTTGTTTCATATTAAATAGAAAATAATATTCTTTGAGTCAAATTCTATCTTAGTAAGTACTGATTGTAGCCAACGAAAAATGTTGCTTATGGGTAGCTATATTGATATTTATTGGAAAAATGCACTGTGATGATACAACTTAAAAGTGGCTTTTCCCAGAGTCAAAGAAAATATGTTCCTAGAAACTTTGATTAGTAATTTTTTTCAAGAGATGGAGCAAAGACTAAAAATAAGTTTTAAACTTCTCTGTGTAAGTTTTCAAGTCACTTTCTAATGAAAATAGAAAGGGAAAATAAAACCTTTGACCCTCCTTGTTCTACAGTTTCAACTTCCTAAGCAAAAGTTATTCTAGTTACATAGTCTTTCAATTATAGACAAAGTATGTTTATATCAGAATGTGAAAACTTTGGGATAATATAGCAGTATATTCTGCAGCATAATATAAGATATGCTTCCTGACAGATTTTTAAAAACTAACTACCTGAAATATTTTTATACTATTGTTAATATTACAACATCACTCAAATTAAAAGCTTCTTGACCTGCTCTCCTTGATCGACATCTCTCGGTGCCAATACTTATTTAGGCGGGAGCACACACTAGCTAGAGATGGGTGTGTCTCAACACAGAGAAAGCAGCCCAGCAACAGTGGTTACATCCTTGGAAGCAAGATGACCTGGTTCAAATTTCAGCTCTGCTACTTACTCATTTCACAGGACCTTCAGCAGCAAGTCACTCAATTTTCCCTAATTCTCAGGTGCATCATCTATCTATAAAACAAGGATAGGCTACCCTCACAGAGAGCATTTTGAGGACTAAAATAAAAATGTCTAAAAGTGCTTAGCACAGAGCCAGGAGCATGACACCTGGCAGTGATGACGATTTTCCAACTACTAATATATTAGGATAAAATTACCTACAGATCTGTATCTTTTGAATATTAAAATAGGTTTTCAAGTAATGGTGCCTACAGCTGAACTGCCTGGGTTACTGGCCAGGTTCGCTCCTGAGGAGCAGTGTGGCCGGAACCAAGGATGGGGGTGTAACGCAGCACCTACATCACCAGAAGCCTGAGTTAAGTGAGCTTAGGTGGGAAGAAGCACCTAGAATATAGCCATTTCTCCTGGGATTCTAGAATTTTCCAGAACCAGTTTTCTTCAATTTATACTGAAATACAACCAGCAAAATTTTACTCAAGAATACTCTTTTGGCTTTTAATCAAGACAGTGGCATCCACTCAGAAAAAAAACATGTTCATTGTGAGTCAGCATCCTCTTTTCCTCTGTAATTAAGCAGCATGTTTTAGATGTCTTACTATCTTACTCTAATTATGCCTTGTGGTAAATATTAGGGAAACAAACATGAGAAGAGTAAATGCCTAGGAATAAGATGACATTTGAATGCATACAGCTGTATTTCCTTAAGTTTGTTTATTTTTCATTTTAAAACAATCCCTAACCAATTATGTTTCAACTGGTACCCAGTGTGCTAAAAACGATAGAGGAAAATATATGAAACAATAAATAATTTTGCTTCAATTTAAGAATGTATTCGTTTTAACCACCTCTCTAAATTCAGTATGTAAGGAGGAAGTAGAACATGCAATGTTAGCAGAAATGTGCCATATACATCAGGAGCTTAAACCTCAGTGACTGTCAGCCCAGCCTCAGACACACTGCCACAGGTCAAGTGCAAAAGGCCTACTCCTTAGACTAGCTTGAAATAACCTGCTATAGTTTAGATCTGAAAAGTTCACAAAAAGCCTATGAGTTAAAGCCTTGGTCCCCAGCCTGTGGATCATTGGGAGGTGGAGGAAATTCGGGAGGTGGAGGTCTAGCTAGGCCATCAGAGGCATGTCTTTGAAGGGGATACTGGGACCCTGGCCCTTCCTCTCTTTCCTTCCTTCTGCTATCTCATTGCCAGATGAGCAGACTTCTTCTGCCACCCTCCAACCTCCCACCGTGATGCCATAGACCCCAAAGTAACAGGGTCACGTGACCTTGGCTAAAACCTCTGGTGAGCCAAAATAAACCTTTCTTCCCTTTAAGTTGATTGCCTCAGGTATTTCAACAATGGAAAGCCAACCAACACACAACACACCCTTCTCTTTCTGTAGTGGCTAATTACTCTCATAGGGGCCTTGTCAGGGCTGAAAAGGACTAGTACCCCTAGTAAGAAGTGGGGGCACAGTGAATGCCAGAAAGCCATTAATAAAATGTAGGTTTTTCTGTTTTGAACTTCAAAGGGATGCCTATTTGCACATCCCCAGGAATTTTTTTGTTTTTTGTTTTTTAATACCAGGGCAGAGGTCACATAGAGGTAAAGATCATAGAACAAGAATCCCCGAGGTTGCGCTTTGTAGGTTTCAAATACTTAACCTGTCTCCAAAATGCTTGTTCCTATAAATGAAGAACCTTGAGAAGCTTCAAGGCAAGGAAATAACCACCCTCAGAGGAATTCAGAAAGGTTGGGAAAATAAAACCAGTGGATTAAAAGTCTTATGTCTATGGTTAACATTCAAATAAGGGATTTTTAAAATTAAATTCCTTTTGAAATAAATGATACTACAGCCAATAGTTTTGTTTGTTTATTTTTTGGTACTGGGGATTAAACCCAGAGTGATTTAGCTTCATCCCCAGTCCTTTTTCTTTTATTTTGAGACAGGATATCCCTAAGTTGCTAAGGCTGATCTCAAACTTGTGAACCTCCTATCTCAGCCTCCCAAGTTACTGGGATTATAATGTGTGTGGCACTGTATCCAGCTGTAGCAAGTTTTACTGAATCAGGTTTTCATAAATATGGCCCAAGGTAAACACAGCTCACTCTAATGATTAAAAATAAAGACATTTTGATTAAGAAGCCCATTAAATTAGAAGTTCACATAAGGAACACATATTAGTGAAGGAACATAATAAAGCAATATAACGAGTGAATCAAGTGAGTATTATCAAGATACTAAGGAAAAAACTGCAGGAAAAACTCACTGAACAATTACTCCATCCTCCTATGGAACGGAAAGCCCTGTCCACTAAGGCGAGAACTGGGAAATAAACATGACATGTCACAGACAGACTGAGACCGCTGGTAACTTTTTGCTGTTGTGGAAAAGAGAATAGATGTCACTGCTGTTCTCCTTCTCATGGAAGAGTCCCCTGAGCAGGAATTAGAGACAGTCAAGATTCTGCTGCAATACTGCTGCGACAACTTCATAGGCATCTAACAGAAACATCCATCCTCCCTTACACTTGGAATGGCTGCCTCGGCGTCACAGCAGTTGGCATCAGAACCTCAGTGAGGGTTTAACTAAAACTGAGCTTTTCTCCGGCGCATACAAACGACTACACAGATTAGACCTAGATTCCCAAGAGCAGGAATATTTCAAAATTCCACAGCTCCTAATTCATATGTGGCAGCCCAGCAACAAAAGGAGGGGAGGCTTTGCGAAGCCAGGGAATGCTTGGTCAGCGAAATGACTTTCTCTAATCTTCCACACCAAGCCCTCAGGCCCAGAAAACCTCAGGAGGAAAAACAAAGTTCCCCAAGACTACTAATTAACTTTGGTAATCTTTTAGAACTCTGGCT